GGAGGAGGAGCAGCAGCAGCAGCAGAAGCAGCGTAATGGCAGTGGTACTGGCACTGGTATTGGTAGTGGTACTGCTGGTAATGGTCATGGCGATGGCAATGTGTCAGTCGTTGAAGTCGCCGTGGAAGTCGAAATGGGCCTAGTTGCTAGCAACAGCAGACGCAAGCAGTTGCAGATGCTAGTAGCTACCTCATCAGTCAGCAACTCGCACAAGATAGCTAACGGCTTGCAGCTACAAGCAGCAGCAGCAGCAGCAGCAGCAGCAGCAGCAGCAGCAGCAGCAGCAGCAGCAGCAGCATTGATGGTGCAACAAAACATGGTAGCACGAATAACAGCAATAGTCATAAGTTGATGATCGACAGCCTCAGCCCTTGTATGCATCTTGACTTTGTTGCACCTAATGTCCATGCAGAAAGCCCTTCTTCCAGCACTGCCAAGCTGCAGTAGCAACGAATGCTTGATAGCAGCTCCAAGTTTTCCCAGGCCATGACAGGTGCTACTACTTCGCGATTACAAGGACGTCGTCCTGAAACTATGTGACGGCAGACAGCATTGTTGAATCGTCACTCGACAGACCCGCATGCTGACTTCGTGCCAGAAGCAGTGCACTGTAGGGCCTTAGTGTATGCTCAGGGGGGTTAGGTGCCGTCCATGAAGAGCCATGTCAAACAATCTCGCGCTTCCTTGGAATGGCATTGAGCTCAGAAAAAGCCCGCGTTCAATTGCCAGTTGAAATTCTCCTCGGGATTGCCACCGCCACAGAGGCTTGAGAAGCCTAACGTACCTTCCCCCAAGTCGGTCAACTGGGGATGGCGCTTCCGATTTTGCAACTCCACTTCATGGCTTGCTGCAGCTGGTCGACACCGTGTTCGGCATGGTCCGACTGCACAGATCTTGTATCCACCAATTCGGCTCTTGCACATGCATGCTCATGTGGTGAAACTCCTGCCCTTGCCTTGCAAATACACCCACGCCTGGACAGCTGAAGTAGCAGGGGCCAACCCTACAATAACTGGCGGCCACGGACAAGATGACCGTAAATGGATATACGTTAGAGAGATTGTGGTCAGATTCGTCCTGTGCTCTGCCACACATCCCTTTCACAACTTTTCGATGAGCCCTTGCAATCTCATGACGTTTATGCACAGTGACCGTGTCGCTGCCAGGGCGTGGGGAGACATTGCCCAGAGGGCGCGTAAGTCGAGTTGCACATCGCAGTTCGAAACTCAGCGGTTCTCGTGAAGAGCTTTGGAAGAGGATCCGTGTCTGCGGAGCGGCTGAGCATGGAATAGCAGTGCTTTTACGATGGAATGTGCAGACAGGGCCAAAAAAGCCAACAGAGGAAGCTCGCTCCTTGCTGCTGTACAAAGCGAGCGCGGCTGACGTGAGAGACCCGCGCAGCTCAAGCGTGCCAGTCTCCCGACTGTCCGTGAAATAGAAACAGTCGCGCCGAGGAATGTGTAATCCGGCAGCACCTCAAGCCCACTGGGCCTGCTAAGCTAAGAAACGGTGCTCCGCTCAAACTATCGGCGTAAGCTCGCCCAACCCTCTGAGCCCTCCAATGTCAGCCCTGACTGCTGCAGGGTAGACTGGGCTCTTGCTAAGGAAGTACATCTAAGATACCACAACAGACAAGCATATCATCGGACTATCTACTATTTACCCCGACATGACATTCAGGTTCTGATCTGATATGTCTCCATGATGGCAACCTCAACAAGATCCCAGTAAAGGCTGGAGTCTGACAGGCCATGTCGGTCATGCTAAGCTTTTTAGGCCTGCAAATTTGGGTGCTCAGCCCATCATGCCCTTAGCCTTGAACCCCATCTTGGCGACGGGCAAGTCAGACTGCCAGAGCTGGACATTCTTCATCCAACTTTGCCGGTATGGGCTGTCTGAACTGTACAAAGTGTCGACAGCGGATCCTAGACTAGATAGGCAAACATGACAAGAAACAACTCATGCTTTGCCAAGACCATGTGGTCCTGCAACAGCTTTTGGATGTTTGGGAGAAACGTGCAGTTGCACTTCTCATCCTGCCATCACCACCGAAGGAACAAAAGCAAATCCTGCATCACCCAAGTGCTTGACCTTGTACTGCTTGACCTTTAATTTGTTCCCATTAGCCCAACGCCCAGCAAAAATCAAAAACAGAAGTCGTAGATCGTGTGACCTAGATCCTGAGCTAACTCTCAGGGACAGGGACCCAGGTCTGGCTCCTTCTCAACTCGACGGCCATGCATTTGCTATGCGAGCCTTGGTTTCGAGGGGCGGAGGAGCGAGAAAACAGGGAAATGTTGCCAACTACGACTACTACACTACAAAGCTTGCGACTGCTTGTGTCTCTGCTACTGCTACGGCTACTGCTACTCTTACATTCATCATACTCCGACTCCGACTCTTACTCCTCCTACTGCTGCTGCCGGTACTGGCGCCGGTACAGGCACTGCTATGTTGCGACCACCACCACCCACTGAACGACGACCATGCACAAGAATGGTGCCAGTAGTAGACTCATCACTGCGGCCAAAGTGGCTTCTCTTATTCTTGCTGCCGTTTTCAGAGCACGTAATTATTCATGTTGAGGCTACCGACATTATCGTCATCAAAGTCGTTGTCGTCGTCGTCATCGTCGTTTTTACGCGTTTGCTATGTTGCTGTGGTTCTGGCTATGAGTATTGTTACAGCTGCTGCGTTCACATTGACTGTGTTCCCAGCTACATCGGCCTTCGTCAGTGCCATCAAGGCATGTTTACCACGAGAGACTGCTAGCACTGGCACCATGCCGATACTCATGGCTCTGAGAAGAACTGGATAACTCCTGCTGTATGACTCTGCTCCAACTGGCATCAAAACAGATGACCCCGTGTCACACACTGCAGAAACTAAACTGGAGAAAGACTTAACACAAATCTTCAGCATGTACTGAGCGTGCACGACCATAATTTCAAACAACGGTGCTTGGACTCCCGAACCATTAGATGTAGGAAAACTCTCTGATGCGGATAGCCTGTTCTCTCTGCTCTCGAGACGACTCAAGGCAACGACCAACAGCATGTTGAGAATCTTTAGGGATCCCCTTGTTGCGCCCAAGGCATGCCCATCCCGATCCTTACCAAAAGAACCTAATGCATCCTGAAGTGCTACGCGCAGCGCAAAGATGATGCATACCAAACCAAGTAAATAGAGAGGTAGATAGACAAACAGACAGACTTACTTGTACACCTAGATGGGTTCCCAATGTATGTTGGATGGCTCTGGTTAGGGGTTCTGATTGGATAGCAGTCCAGAGGTAGTCCTCGCCTCCTTCGAGCATCTGCACTTTGGACATGCAGGAGCTATGCGGGGTCTTCGCTGGTAATTTTTGAAATGGATAGGATAGTTCTCCAAGTCAAGAACTCTTTGCTAAAAGATGACTACGGCAGTCTCGTAGTGAGAACCCCAAAGGCACCCCGTGCGTAGAGTAGGCCGCACTGGAATACTTTAAACCCTACAAATCCCGAACCCCGAACCCCTGAAGCCCAGCTTAAACCCTAAACCTCAGATCCCTGACAAGAATGACTAGAAGACTACAACCAACTAGAAACGATGCCCACCAGCAAACAAGATGATCACAAAAGCCAAGAATCCAACAACAACAACAACAACAACAACAAGAACAAGAACAAGAACAAGAACAAGAACAATAACAATAACAAGAACAAGAACCACAACCACAACAAGAACCAGAACCAGAACCAGAACAAGAACAAGAAGGCCCTTTTTGACGAGCAGCTCCAGCTCCAAAGGCCGAGGGCGCGCGAGACGACCCGGGCGGAGCCCGCTAGCGAAGTACCTGCCAAGCGTGCTTCCTGTCGTGAGAGAATGATCTTGTGAATCTACATCTGAGTATACAGTATTCATATCAATAATTACGGTATTCATATGCGGACATGTACATACACATATATACTGTATATATATATATATATATACTCTCTCTCTCTCTCTCGCTCTGTCTCTCTCTGTATGTATGTGTGCATTCATTAATTAAGTGAATACTAAGTATTTAACGAACTCATCAAGTAAGCAATGCGCCAGACAAGTCGGGGAGTCGCTTACACAAAAACGGGCCAAGAAGTCCAATACATAAATCAGGAAACACATAAACACACAGGTGTCTGCATACGTACACGCATACGTACATACATACATACATACATACATACATACATACATACATACATATATATGTATATGTATATGTATATGCATATGTATATGTATATACACTTGTATGTATATACATATGTATATATATATATATACATATGTGTGCTTAGTTGTACAATAAAGTTGTACATATTATATACACACCAAACTACCTTATCTGTTTACTCGATGTCATCTTATGGCTTCTTTTGTTCCCTTGTGTGAAATAACCCGGCATGATATCATGGTAAATGAGATCATACTTCGTATATAGTCTTGATTTTTATACTGTTGTACTTATAACCAGAGTTGTGCTTATATAGTTTTAAAACGAATATGAATGACACAAACAAACTTCTATCTATCTATATATATATATATGTTATCTACTAAGAAAACGATGCTGTTTGCTATAAGGGATTGCAGTACGACAAAGCATACACACACGAGCTAACTATTTCATCTTGCTTTGAAATGTCCTATCTTCATCTATATTTCAGCTGCCTATGTATGCCTATGTTGGATAACGTGTTCAACGTGAAGCGCTTAATTGTACTATTTTGTACTTTATTCCTTCTACTACACTAAACTATACTGCCACGCAGGGTTTGGGGCCTTCTAGCGGCTCGAGGCAAAAGCATTGTAGAAACATCTCTCTATCCTGTTGCTTGTTAGAACATGCCGCCGATGCGGTGCAAATGCACGTGTACACATTCAGTTTTCAGGCTTCGAGTTTATGGATATGTGTACACGTTTAACGTCGTGGCTCGGGATCAAAAGGTGGACACGACACAACCCGTGGCGCACGTGACCTGGTCACCAAAGCCTCCCAGAGCTGCACAGATCTCACGACGGCGGACTACAAAGAGCGATGTCATGCAAGGCCTGCAACGCAGGATGCGGTCTCCGCGGGCATGTCTGCCCGCTGCTGCCCACCTGCCGACATGATGCCCACTGCACAAATTGACCAAAGCAATTGTCAATTCTGAAATCTTCTCGCGAGGCTGCTCCTACTGTGGAGTGGCAGAGAACTTGCTTTTGCCATCACTGCGAGTGGACTTACACGCTCAAGCGGTCTTTGCCGTCTTCGTGCTTGTGCCCAATGATCTGGGCAGTTTCGACCTTGGTGTTCTTGTTATTCTGTTATCAAGATCAAGGAGGTGCCCCTGTCATACTAAGCCAAACTCTTATTAAACAAACCTCAACAATATGTTAAGAACAAACTAAGGCCTCCACGATGTTATGTAGGTCGGGATCGCTAGAAGCATTGGTCACCTCGTCTGGCACCTGAACTCAC